TGTCTGAAAAAAATTGACAAATAAACTAGCATTTTTTGCAATTTTTTAAATGATTTTTCCGATTTTTGCAATAACAATAATTATTTTTTCGAATTGCAACTAACTCTATCTTGATCAAAATTTAATTACAAAACTTTTTTTCCTTTTCCATTTTTGTCTAAAACGAATAGTTGCTAAGTTGTCGACGAGAAATCCAAGAAAAAAATGAATTTTTTTGCTATTATTTTAATACTTTTTTGCAATAACAATTAAGCCCACGTTTTTTTTTATTTGCATAGAAATATTATCATTTCTGATGTTATTTAGGAGCCGTTAAAGCAAAAATCTCCGATCATATGCGTTTTACCCAACCCCAAACAAGTACCGCCTGGACTAACATGAATTATGCCATGAAAATGGCGTTTTATTCTATTTTCTCTTTTTGAATGAAATTGGACCAGCTTACCTGACTCTATGATGATAAATTGAAATTAAACGAGTGAAAAATCATACGTCTAGTGAGCTAGTAGAATAATTTGATTTTTTATAACTTTCGTCGATCGTAAATGACGTTTCTTGTGAATTTTGACCTGTTTTTTGAATTTTCCCGAAAACTCAGACCCGTTGGGCCAAATCTGAAGGCAGATTTGGATTCAGCGGAAAAAAATATATGGAAATACAAGGGTCTGAATACCAGATCCGATCCTTTTTTTTTTCTGGGGCTGTGTAATTGTACTGAGATAATGAGTATGATATTCGCAGCTTAACACAAAGAGTAGATATACGATACAAATATTCATTGCCCTTTACTCATATTTATCAGTTCATGACTGCAAAAATGTTGTGTTTATGATAACATTGCTCTTTTACCTTGATCGATGTCAAGAGAATCGTCCTCTACTTTAACGTTTCCGTCTTCCCAAAGTCCCATGAAGGCATAATTGATGTGGGTGCACAGGCTAGCATCGAAATCTTCTGGATTGTAACCATCATAAGCGTTCCAGCTTTCATAGTAACAAATAACCCTTGTGCCTACCAATTTAAACAATTTTAATTACTTTACTTTTGAAAATAAAGAGAATATTACCGCAATAGAATATTAGAATTTCTGGTTGCACTTTAAGTTTAGCAATAATTTATGATATAATAAATATATTAATGCAAGAAGTGATTCTAACATTTATCATGGAAAATATAAAATATGTATAATACCCTACCTCCAGAGCAGCTTTTATAAAGATATTCTATATTATGGTACATATAATTTATTAGGTACTTTACAAAATATTACATTTGACAATTTCTTATCAACTTATTGTGATACTAATTTTTTCTCATTTTTTTTTTAGATAAGAAAATTATATCTATCAAAAAAACAATGCTTGACATTCTTTTGGTGTGATGGTTTATTTAAATAACTTTTTAATTTCTTTTCACAGGTGGCGTATATACTCAAATAAACAAAATTAATTCAATTTAATAGGATAACGAGCACTTATTTGTTTAGAACAAAAAATAAAATTTGAACCATTGTTCCGTACCCATTTTAATATTAATATCACTTTACCTGTGGCAAAATACTGCATAAATATTGCTAAGCAGATCATGAGAGATTTTAGGTACATTTTGGAAGAATAATATTTTTGTGACTAAGAAACAAAACACATTTTCACAATAAACACAACATAATAGTAATACGAGCTTATAATGTAACGATAAAGTATCTGCATCGAAGATTGTTTTTGTATTGATAAGAAATCGATTTAATCTGTTGTATTTGAAAAACTTATAAGAAAACGTGTGTATTTGAGATGAAGTTGATCATTATTACTGTAGCTTGTATCATCAAAAAAAATCGAGTTTGTTTTTTAAAACTGGAAGGTTACAACATTGATGTTTTACGTCATCTCGTGACAGATTCATTAGTTTAAATTTGTATCCTTGTGGTTATTATCTGTCCTTAATCTTAAGTACCTATCAATATGACTAATCAGAAAGTAAATATAGATACCAGATAATATGGAATATGTAAACGTAAAGAAAATCATACAAAATGTTGCTGAACAACCGTGATATTACATTGTATGAATTATCATATTCATAGATGATCCACAATGTCAAACTTTCCTTATGTTATAAATAATAAACTTAATTTTTTTTTTTAAATAGTTTTAAGTAATATGCGTACAATACTAGCAATCTTTTATATTTTTTTTATGGATTCTAAATGTTAATGTCAATAACAAATGGATATTTTTGAAAACTATAAAAATAAAATGAAAATGAAAACCTTTGCAGTAAACCTGCCCTCTAATATTGTAAACTAAACTGCAAATAAATTTTTGTTTACGACGTTATTGGAGGAAGTAAACGAGCTGCCAGAAGTAGCGTAGTAGTTGTATAAACGCACTTATCAGTGTTGCCAATTGTTACGTTTTTAACTGTTAGAGACGTTACAATGGAAAACAACTTAGTTAAAACAGACTGCTTTTATGTATAAAAAAGTTATAAAATTTTCAACAAAATAGGATATTTTTACTCGTTTTTCTAATTCAGCTACTTCATCAGTTGAATCGGTCCTAGACATCTTAAATTAAATTAATTCAAAATATACAAAACAGAAAATTATATTGTATGAAAGCGTGACCAATAGTTTCACAACAGCATATCATTGTTTACAAGACTGAAATATTGACTTTACATCTGGTATGATATGACAAGGGATGGTTAACGGGTAAACAACAAACTGCTAATGTTACTTAATTTTGTTAGGTACATTTATTTTAGTTTTCAGTTTATCTGTTTACGAGAAAGTGTCTGTAGAATGCGGAGAAATTACACCACTTTGTAGGTGAACGTTTAGTTTTTATTGGAATCGAAATAGAATTTGCATTGTGCAGTGTAGTGTTTTATTTTAGTTTTTATTTATATTTATTATAGTCAAGTTTAAGCTATTTAGTGAAGCATGTAGTGTTTATTGACGGTACAATGTATTTTTGTGTATTCTTCAAGTTTCTGTCTTATATTATGAAAAAGCGTGCATATGAATTAAGAAAGAGTTGATCTGGCTAGAGCCTGTTTTTTCGAGAATACAATGTCAAAGATTATCAGAACCGACAAGTACTGAATAAGAAAATGTTTGCAACATTAATTCAAAATTTAAAGGACTACGGGAGCTGTTAACAGTAATATGCTAATTTTGAATAGGAACAAACTCAGAGAATGGGATGCTGGTAAGTATTAATACTCGAATATTAGCCGCAAGATTTGAAATATGTCATATGACTGTACATTATATCATTACTATTATTACTTTTTTTACTATTATTAAATAACATCTCATATAAAAACCATATACCACGCCAATGTTTAGCAACTACAGTTAGAATTTGTGAGAGCCATGACCTCTATTCACAAGTTTGAATGTTAAAAAGGGTTTCATTACGGATAAGGTCCGAGCGGTCCCCAAGGTGTTTGTTTCAAACTTACTAACGGAAACCACTGTGATATTCAAAACAAAAAATATTTGTGAATCCACATATGACTAAATACTGCTGAAATAGGTGAATGATAGATACTTGCAGAGCAGACATTCTAAATGCCTTTAAATTATATACAGGGATGGCCAGAAGTACGGAATAAAATTCATAGCCTTTGAATGAGTTAATTTTTTTTAAAACGCCGAAACACGTTAACTGATTTTTTCCCATCTTTCGGTTATATAATAATTAATTTTTCTTCAACCCCCTAACCCCCAGCTACCCCTACTTTTTTTTCAAATGGAAACATAAGGCATGAGGGGGCTCGTTGAAAAGCTTATAGAAAACCGAATCNATTGAAAAAATAAAACTTGTTTATTTGGTATGGCTGGATTCGGTTTTCTATAAGCTTTTTAAAGAGCCCCCTCATGCCTTATGTTTCCATTTGAAAAAAAAGTAGGGGTAGCTGGGGGTTAGGGGGTTGAAGAAAAATTAATTATTATATAACCGAAAGATGGGAAAAAATCAAAATCAGTTAACGTGTTTCGGCGTTTTAAAAAAAATTAACTCATTCAAAGGATATGAAATTTATTCCGTACTTCTGGCCATCCCTGTATATAATTTAAGGGCATTTAAGTAGTTTATAAGGTCTATGGCTGAACCCCTCTAATGATAATATTACATACTACTGTATTGTCGACACCTACCTTATAAAAGTTAAGAATTAGAAATAAATATTAAATAGACTCGGGTCAAGAAATAATTGAGAATTATGTCATGCAATTTGGATTGCATTTTGTTTTTACTTGTTTTAATGTCAACTGCTGGCAATTGAACCAGAATAAGTTTTCAATAAGTTGAATTGTTTTAGCTTTATGTTTATTTACCTTTCTCAAAGATGTTTATGGTCATGCAAAACTCTATTTGTAAAGTCAATCCCTTGGCCGATCCCATTTAATTAAAATTTCTTTTCTTTTCAACTTAAAAAAAAATAATAACAAACGACATAAACAAATACATAATTATTATTGACGATATTTAATTGTATGATTGTTATAGATATTAATTACATTTCTTAGTTTTTGTGTCACATATTTTAAATTTGGATTTTAATAAAAAATGTTTTTTAGTTTATTACACAATTCAGATAGTCATATATTTATTTTGCAAAAATTATGCCAAAATGGCTTAAATTTTACTGTTAACTGTTTTCAAATGATATTATAATGAACTGATTTTTGGCAAAGTATCTATTTTTGAGTTTGGAAAATATCGTAAATTTCTCGTGTGATTTTCGCTCCTTTTCAAGCTCCACGCTTTGGGTACTGCCAAAAATATGGCTTAATGGTCAAAAAATTTGATTCCATTATATCAAAGGTTTTGGCGGAAGTTGCGCATTTGTATTATTCTGTACCCGAGTCTAACATCGAATTTAGTATTTTTCGGATCCTCGTACAGTGCACGATGGACGAAGAAAAGTTAATAACCAATTAAGAAAATGCTGATTATCATTCCTAAAACATCTTAAAGGTGATATAAATCACATAGTTTTAATTTAAGGGTGTACTGTCTTTTTGGTGTATGCGAACACTTGTCGGAGCTTTGTGCGTGGTAATAGTCATGCCATGTTACAAATGGGGTGCTATGCTATGGACTCAGTCGAGAATTGAGGTAAAGTTTCTCCATTTACATACTTTTAGCGTACCATTGCTCCTAAAATGTATGGTATCTTTACATGACGAGGCTTGAGGCAAGATTTCATTACAATCGCATCCTTCTAAAGCTAGTTCAGTAACTGTCAAATAATATGTCTAATGTAGGAACCTACTCATATTACGTAGAAGATGTAATTGAAGAGATATTAATAATTTATTTTTGTTTATCAAGTATGTTATCATTAATAATTATCTTCCACACACACACATGTTCTGCATTACAAATAAATTTGTAAATAATTCTGACGCTCTTCATTTAATTATCTTGCTAATCGTGTAGATGATCTATCCAATTATAATGATAATTGTTCTTCAAATTTAATTTATCTAGAATCGTCTGTATCACTGAATGTTGACCTAAAAATGTTTTGGCTTAGCAACAGAAAAAATGCCACTAAATGTTAAAATAAAAAAAAATACAGATTTCAGATCAGTTTCCAAAATAAAGATCTTTAATTATTATTTCTTCTCGTATTAAATGCTATGGAAATAATTTAGCAGTAAAATGAAACATAATACTTATTTTGATTATTTATTGGAATATACTATTCTACAGAACTTAAGTTCCAGTTAAACAATAGCAGCACAAACAAAGAATATCAGTAACAATGAGTAAATAAACATTATAAATAAAAATACTATTACAATGAATACATAAATATATGACAAAGTTCCTGACAAAAACACTTAGAAAATAATAAAATATATCACATCAGATGTATACATATACATTTATTGAATATATTTCTATAACCTTTTTTTATTGCTGTTTATTATTTTACAATTAAAATATTTGAATGAGAAGACACACTCACGTAAAAAGTCCTATAAAATGAGAATAAGCAATCAGAAAAACAGCTGAACATTGTTTTGAAGAGATATGGCCGAAAATTCAGTTTTTTAATAAAAATCACTGCATTTTTTCGCACATGTTAATTCATGTGTTCAATTACCGGTTTGACAGGAAATCAATTTCGCCAGAACTTATTTTTGTCTAACATCATACCTTTCAGTTTCGTCGGATGGAATTCTGAATTGCGAATTCACTGATACATAATATATCATATAAATTAAATAATGGACAAATTAGAAATATTGGAAATATAGCGCTCAAAGGTAGGCACTTCAAAAATGTCGAAGTATCCATTTTTTTTTGCAAATTGAACCAAGAAAATATAGAGCCTTCATAAATGATAACAAGCCACGTGGCCAGTAATTTTGCTTGGAACAGTAATTTTATTTTCTTCACGTTGGCAAATAAAGGGTAAAATTAAAAGAATAAGATCACAGATTCTGTTTTATCGACTGTGATTGGCGTAATTGAAGGTTCTATCCAACCAATCAGCGATCGCACTATCTCGAGAGTAGACGTAACGGATCATTAAACGTCAAGCTCGGCGATCACGTGGCTTATAAACATTTATGAAGGTTCTGAAGACAACTATTATCGCATCTCACAGGTATTCAATATATAAATTTTAGCATAATTATTTGATGTCGTGATTTTATTTTATAAGCAACAATTTTTAGAGCATACTTTC